GTAATCTAGCAATATATCACGGCATCTGTAAGCAACCCAGTAATTTTGAAGGATCAGATATTGCCGGATATAACATAAAAACTTTTATCGATATCTGATAAGCAAAAATCTTCAACTGATGACATCATACTAACAGAAGCTATTTTGTCGAAGAAATCCTATCGAACCTAACAGGATTCTAGAATAGATCTAGCCACTTTGGAAACTTCTTCTCATGTTGACGCATGCGTTACGCTACGAGTTAGCTATCCATTATTAGATTCACATCACAAGCTTCCCTGGGGCTGAGAAAAATAGTCAAGAAAAGTGAGCCGATATTATCATTTTACATGTTGATCTTTACTAGAAAAACTTGCCAAGATTGTGAGAAAATGATGAGTTCACATTGGAAATATAATTGAGTGATTTTGCCTCCACTAGAGAACTATAAAAATTGGTTCCAAGTTAGGAATAAATAACATCGTTAAAGTTGATCACTAAAATCATATAATTTAGCTTCCCTAGCTATATACCTCGACTGATCGGCACATCAGTTTGTGTTATGTGATCTTTTCGTATGATATGGTAATATTAATCAATATATTCATGGATGTTTTCGTCAACAAGTTACTTTTTCGTGAGAAAAGAGGAAAAAGAGGATATTTCTGAAATAAGAGGGTAAAAAGAGGAATTTTAAAAGAAAAGAGGAAAAAGAGGCGGAGTGGGATGCCAGAAGTAATCCTTCTAGGATAGGCAAATGAGTAATCAAGAAAACTTCCAAAGGTTGGAGTGATAATGTCATTGACGTTTCACTCCCTAGTTCTATGAGTCCATTGATATTCGATCTCCATTTCTTAACTGGAACTGGAGTATCTCCACTCTGGATCATATGAATTCCCAATGTATCCTCTGAATCTCCGACGTATCCTATGTATCATCCATATCCCCATGATATCCTCTGGATCCCCGCCGTATCAGCGATAGGTGGAATCCGCTTTTCCCCCTTGGCTGAGGCTCATCTGATATATTCAGATTTTTTTTTTGTTGGAAAGAGCATGTCAAGGCGCAGCGAATGGTAGAGTCCTTTTGTGAAGCACGATCTAAAAGAGAGTTAAAGTGTATAGGATAGAAATTTAGAACTAGTTTCTCGCTCTCACAGACCGTGACCGATACAGATCAAAGGTCAAGGATCGCAGGGTACAAATCATTATAGGGCGTCAGAGACTGTGACCGACACAGGTCGAAAATCATATAAAGCGTCACAGATCGTGACCAACGGGCCAGAGCAGCATCACAGACCGAAGTCGACAGATCAAGATAGCGTTACCAACCATGACGGACATAATTGTACTGCTACCTGCCTTAGAAATCGTAATGTATATACCTGACAACGGAAGTCTATTACATAATTAGTACTGAATACGACTGAATTTCAGATATTGACTTTTGTCTTTCTCTGATCTTACTGTACCAAATTACCGTTAATAGTAGATAGCAATTCCGAACATATGTAGCTGAAGTCTTCTATTTACAATGTTACCAGTGCCATCATGTTTCACATTTTAATCCCGCAGAGATTGCACTGACAGCCTTTTTTTAAATAACACATTATTTTTATTATATATATAGACTAGAAGTGTGTGGGATCAGATATTTAAACTTTTCAGGAACAGGGACCGAGATTGGGGCCAAAAATAAAACTGTACTGGGACCAGAACCAAAAAGTAAAATTTCATTGATGTCAAAACCAAGAATTGTAGTTAAATTGTGCATGTTTTTCAAAGAAGTACGATATAGATCACATCACTCTAGATAAAATTTAAAAGATATTGCCAAAAACAAATGACATTCGACAACTTAGTTAAAAATAGAGTATTTATGAACTATTTTTTGAATATTTTATATAAACAGCGTTAATATTCATATAACAATAATGTGAGTGGAGCAAATTTTATTCACATCATAATTAAATTCACGTACTTTTAGATAAAATTTTCTTTTTTCGACGTTTCAAACTACTAAGTGTTCATTGTCAAGAATCACAATCATGTACTGTATATGAATGACAAGTACGACCTGAACCTGAATTTGATCTTGAAGAAAATTTATCTAAAAATACGTCCAATTAATTGTGATTGAATAAAATTTTGCCTCACTCCCATTGTTATTATATAAATATTAACGCTCTCCCAATGTCTGTCTGTGACAGATCAAAGATTAAAGGTCAACAAGGGCTATTCTAGGTTCTAAAGAGTTATCCTACAAGGGTACTCATGGGTCCTCAAGGGCTATCCTATAGATTACTCATAGGTCATCCAGAGCTATTCTATGAGGGTACTCAATAGCCTATGAGTACCCCTATATAATAGGACTTGAGGACTTAAAAGTACCGCTATATAATAGCCCTTAAGGACCTGAGGGTATCGCCAAAATATGGGACTTGACGACCTAAGGATACCTCAAAATATACCCTTTGAGGACCTAAGGGTACCTCTAAAATATAGGACTTGAGGTCATAAGGTGCCTTCAAAATATGGGGCCTGAAGACCTAAGGGTACGTCCAGAATATAGTCTTTGGGGACCTAAGGGTACCTCCAAAATATAGGACCTGAGGATCTAAGGGCATCTCGAAAATGTAGGACTTGAGATCCTGAGGTGTCTCCAAAATATAGTCCTTGAGGACTTAAGAGTACCTCCAGAATATAGCTTTTAGGGACCTAAGGGCACCTCCAAAATATAGCCTTTAAGGATTTAAGGGTACAGCCAGCGAAACATTCGTATTCGCGATCCGTACAATCCTGCGGGCCGTCAATCCACTGTTTTCCTCTTTGCTCTCCTTCCATACATTTATCTCAATTTTGAAATTTTTAACGAAAATTAACTTTGTTCTTAGGAGGAGAGGCTTTAACCTCATGAGTTCTATCATCTAGATTTTCTATTTTCATCATTCAATCAAATTTTATCTCCTTAGTTCTACATATATTCTGTGGCCTGTAATCGTACCGTCCATATCGTATGTATCGCCACCGTATCGTGTGTATCGTACGTATCACCACCGTATCTCCGATACACGGCATCCGCTTTTTCCCCCTCGGACATACTCTTAGTTTCTCAAGTTCTACTATAGGGGAATACCCTTGAGCCCTCAAGTCTTACTATAAGAGGATACCCTTGGATTCTCATGCTCTACTATAGAGGGATGCCCTTGGGGCCTCAAGTCCCATAATACAGGGGTACGCAGCATCATCTAGGATGCTAGGGGGAAAACTGGGATACTAAAGCTGATTGGTTGATAATCGACCAATCAGATGCGAAGAAGCTTCTTCTTCGCTATTGTAAGGACAAAACCTACTCGTGTTCGGGTCAAGTGAAAGAGAATCCCAGATGATCCTAAGATCGGCCCGAACAATCGTATGTTTTGTCCGAATAATAGAGGAAAAAACCGCACTACAATCTGATTGGTTAGCAATCGACCAATCAAAATCGAGGAAGCTGTTTATTCGCTATTGTAAAGACAGAACCTACTCATGCTCGGGTCAAGTGAAGCAGGAACCTCGATAACCGGAAGATCAGCCTGAATAATCCTATGTTTTGGGCTTACAATAGCTGGGAAACAGCTTCCCCGAATCTGATTGGTCGATTATCAACTAATCAGATTTTAGTGCGGTTTTTTCCTCTATTGTAAGGAAAAATCGTTGTCATGTTCGGGCGAATATTAGGGTTATCTGGGGTTCTCTTTCACTTGACTTGAACATGACAATATTTTGTCTTTACAATAGCGAAGAAACCGCTTCATCGCTTCTGATTGGTCGATTATCAATCAATCAGCTTTAGTATCCCACTTTTCTCTCTAGCATTCTAGATGATGCTACATACCTCTGTATTGGAGGACTTGATGGCCTGAGGGTATCCCCCTATAGTAAGACTTGAAGGCCCAAGGGTATCTCCCTATATCAGAACTTGACGGTCCAAGGGTATCCCCTATAGTAGGACTTGAGAACCCATGGATACCACTACGAACCCGGGATTCCCGAAACCCAGGAAGTTAGGGCTCGGTGCATACCTAACCCACGCCCACCACTTCATGCACATCCACGCATATACATTGGGTAATACAAACCCAAACACCCAGAATTACACCCTGAATCGTACCAATACTACATTAATGCCAACACCGTTGGTCACACTGAAGTCCGCATTTATTCACACCCACACACCCAGTCACACTCATTCTTCCACCCAAGCCCACACAGTTGCTCATCAACAGTCAAACTCACATCCACCCACGCCCTTAATCACTGCAAAACCCAGAGCCACACACTCACAGCCACAAAGCTCACAACTAACACCTTGTCCACCCCCACGCCCACACCTTGCACTATGGGCACACACTCTTAAACACCTAAGATTATACGCAGAGCTACATCCAGGACCATAACAAGGCCAACACCATTGCTCTCACTGACGTCCACATTTCTTCATACCCACATACTCACTCACACTCACAGTCATCCGCACATCGAAACCCACATAGATTGCGATCAACAGTGCAGCCAACTCCCATCCACAATCTTAAGCGAATCCCACACACATAAACTCACTTACTGCACACCTCAGACAAGCACCTTTACCTACTTCATGACCCACAAACACTACCTCACCCACATTCATGGCTACACGTAGGACCTTACGCACACTCTCTCATGCACCCAGGATTACATTCGCGATTACTTCTCGGACCATAGCCTGGATTATACTCAGCACCACATCCACGATCACATCAAGACCGATACCGTTGCTCACACCCGCACGCCCAGTCGCACTCATCCACACCCACACCCGCTTCTAATCTTTTTTAGCAACAAATTCAAAAGAATATCACTAAGAGTACTTTTAATGTTAAAAAAATTCTCCATGATGATCGTTCAAACATGTGATGTTAACGTTATAGATATATAAACTAACGATCATTAGTTTTCTTTTACTTGAAGAATTAATTTGTACTTTATCGATTCCGTATAATGGCAACTAGAAATGGAGCTGACAATTTATTCAAACATGTTGATACAAATCAATATGAAAAGTATGAATTTAGAATTTAAATCAAATGATTAATACAAATATATATATATATATATATATATATATATATATATACATATTTAGGATTGATAGAAATGAATTTCGTCATTCGTTTTCAAATACTGAAGGATTGAATAATTCATCATATGACTCAACAGCTAGAAGACTCTATCGTAATGATTATACTACTAATCAATTTGATCGATACAACTATAATGGTAGTGATTACGATGCTTCAAAACGTACGGCTGATAAATATATTTCATATGGAAGTACACTAGCACCTCCTGAGTGGGCTAATGCTACGGTGATTGACACATATAGTACGGAAGAAACGAATGAATATCTTAGAAAATTAGGTGATAATGTTTTTATCGATCCTAATCCGCAAATTATTCGACGAACACTACCTGAAGAACCAGTAGCACTAGAACAACGGGTTTTTATCCAATATCTTCAACCATCATCTGTTCGAGAATCAGGAGTAATTAGACAAGTTATTTACAAATTCAATCTTACTAATCTTTGTATGATTTTAGCCATTCGTCACTAAAGAACGTCCACGATAATCATCGCCATCTCCACTAATTTTTATAGACAAACATGCACCACGTCCTCCTGCACTACCTCCACTTATCTTATGTGAATGGCCACAAACACTTCTAACACATGTTCTGAGTGAAACGAGTTTTAAAAAAAGGATTTATATTACATAGATTAGATAGATTAATGTATTTTACAGTTACTCGTTGCTTATCTCCTATTCATGTTCCACTACGATCAGTTTTCACCGAACATTTTTCACCTTTTCGCGAAAATCTACATCAAAGAACTGTCTTCATTTTTCTTTTTGATTTTTTTGATTCTAGATTATTGTTGTTTGCCATTTAGGCGATATTAGTATTAAACGATGGATTTCATTTGGGCCTCAATCTGAACGTCGTATAATAGTTGAACAAACTTCTCTTGTTATTGATTATCAATGACCGTATCATAATATTGTTGTTTACTACGCTGTTCAAAAATCTCTAACTCGATAATTTGAAAAATTTGTTGTCAGCCAAAAAAATTCTGACACTTATATAGCTCGTTATAAGTCACGACTTGAGAATATCTACACTCTCAGTCGCACCCAGTCTTCCAGCCCCACCTAAATCAACAACCATCTCCTCAATTGTTATGCGAAAGTATTCCCTTGTCAGTAGACATTTATTATCTTATTAAAAATAATAATAATAATTCATTCAACAATTTCAAAATACCTATTGATCATACGATAGAAATAACCCTTAAACTAATGATTTTATTAATCAAATTGACGAATAACTCCTTAGAATATTTTAATCCAATTGAATCGATACTGTCTTCATAATAAAGGTGTGGGTGCGGGGTGTGGGTGCGGGGTGTGAGTGTGGAGCGTGGGTGTACAACTAGTCTTCATGCACATCCACACCACACACGAAAATTCATTGCGTATATAGAACAAAAGGAACAATGAAAATGAATAGTTGATCAGTCACATATAAAAGAATATTGCACTTTTCTATTTACACACAATTGTAAGATGACGATATGTCTACTGAAACACTACCCAAGATCATCGAAGTAATGGAGATGGTCAGACGATTGCATCCTCTAGTTGCCACTCAACAATCACAACTTCATTTTCTTATCTCTCAGTTGGATTCGCAGCTTACTCAACTCTTCATTGGGGTGAATACTAACATGAAATGTACGTAGTCATCAATCAATTATATTATACGTGCACTATATACGTATAAAAGATCAGTTAATGCAAAACCTCCATATAGTGAACACTTTTTTAAGAGTCCCATTGGTGTTCACTATAGAGAAGTTTTACTGTATTTTTAAATTATTTTTTGCATATTTTTCTAGTCGAAATTATCATTTGTATCATATTTTAAATCATCATTTCATTGCATAAAAGTCATTGTATTTTTTTGTAGAGAACTTCACGTAAAATATTTTGGTAAAAAGTTATTCCTCGATTGACCCTATGAAAGAGAAATAAAATAAAAATAGCAAGAGTACTATTCTTTTTGCGCTACTCAATAGAACTGATAGCAATAATGTGTCAAAAACTTATCTCACCCAATTACCATTAGAATAAACATCATACCACACATCTCTTACAATTCGAGACCTGTCATCAATAGTATCTTTCATACTTATTTTTTCACACATACATGTCACCAATATCTATATTATAGTGTTGACAAAATTACCTTCGAATATCAAGATAATTGTTGTTTTATGAAACAGACAAAGTCTGAATCTTATCCATCATATTTTCTCTCTCCATCATGGCACACAATATACCGTTTTTCTATTTTAGATCAAACCAAAATGCGTGTTGGTTTTCTTCTCTGCGTGATCATTCTTTGCTGTCTTTCGGCTGATTCTATCAGTCAGAAGAGTTCCAGCAAAAAAGCTCCAGTGAATAAAAAGATTGAACAAGACTTACGTCAATTAAAAAATCATTTTAATCAATTTTTGACGAATCTGTCACCGTTCGCAAAGAAAACTATCAGTTTGTATTGCAATGCCACAAGAGATTGTTGTACCTCCGCCAAGACAAAAGTATATATGGCGAAAAAGATAATAAATAATACGAATGACTGCTTGGAAAGCAAATCCGTGGCTTCCATTTGTACACCCGCGAAGCGTCTTCAAGAGTTTACGTCACCTGATTCATTTTTAACAGTGTTACAAATGCTCGAAATGTATGCAAAGTTGTAGAATGTATTTGTAGGTGCCGAAATTGTGGCCGCTCTTAATTTCACAGAAACCCAAGAAACACGTTTCTGTCCTGAGAATGTTAATTACGACGAGAACGATGAATTTTTGATGGTTTGTGACTGGCAGATGACCAAGACGATGATGGATCCTGTCACAACATGCCAACGAAAAGTTCTTCAGGGTCTGCGTACTAACAAAACTCAATATGCAAAATATTTGAAGATGTATAATCTAATGACCGATCGACTGATTAGTGCGAAAGCAAAATAATCCAACTTTTTTTTGTCTCGTCTTGCTATTTGCACCCAGTGATCCTGGATTTTTTGTTTTGTAATTCCTAGATGAAAATGATATGATCTCAAAAAATGATATTTTGATTCGTATGAACACTTGTTTTTCTTTGTAAAGTAGAAGAAGTTAGATTGAATTTAACCTAGAATCTCCTGCTGAAAAGATTTTTCCTCGAATAAATATTAGAATGAAAGAAAATATTGAAATAAACAATAGATGAAAATAATGATTGTGCTACGAAAGGAGAACATATGCAATTTTTCGATTTTACTCTACTCTCATACCAAATGTATTTATTTCGAAATATTCATGGAATAAGTAATAAAGAAAATTTTTCTTTTGTCATATCGAAAATAAATGAGAAGAAGATCAAAGTAGATTTCTTCATTGATAAATTGAGCAATTATCAGTGACTACGTGTTTGAAATACGACTTCGATTCAATTCGATTAGAGATCGTTTTTTGTCTCTCTTTGAGGAATCGGATCTAAATAGATTTAATTAGATCTAATGATAATTCTCATCGATATCTAATCTGGAAAAATGTTGATTTATTTTAAATTTGATCTTTGCATCACGTTTACGTTCATTAAAGAAAACTCTTCACCATCATCATCAGCAGTGACATTTCACGATGCTCATATTCTCTTCTTTAGTCCATTGAGATTCGATATTGCTGATAAAATGATTGAACACAGCAGCTAAATCAATTCGCATGTATCTTTAAATATTTATATTCAGATGTGATTTTGATTCAAATCAATCATTCTTTTATCGATGAATTCACAAGTTATGAACGAGATTGAACTGTAGTCGGAAGTCATATTCGACGTTTACTGGGTTTGAGTGAGTGATAAATCTTCATCTACATCCACACTCTGATAATGTAACTTCGATAGAGTTCTTCATTTGCATTTCATTCTTGATCAAGCATTTTATAAGTATTTTTTTGAGTTTCACTGATGTTAAATACAACTCAAAAGAACTGAATGATGATTGGAGCTCGATTGTTAAAATAAAATGACAAAGAGAAATATAAAGCTGTAGGTGTAGATATGAAGATGGAGTATCGAAGTATGAGTGTGCCTGCCATCCACACCTCCAATTTTCTTCCTTGTTAGCTTTTGGAAAGATTTCTAAATATTAATTTTATATTTAGTCACACAAATCAGTTGACTATAAAATGGTATCTATATCAAATAACCTCTTTGTGTAACATCAAAACATTAATAAAAAATTCTTCATGTTTAGTTAAGATATTCGACAAACCTGAATGGTTAGTATCCATGTTAAAGTCTTATCATCCATGTCCATATCCGAGAGTGACACTCTCAGCGACCAATATTGAATTTCGAGATCTAACCGAATCGAAAATCGATGCGTCAAGCCATGACATCTATTGTAGAGAAAATTAGAAATTGTTTTTATCAAAAATTATGTTTGACAGATTAGTATAATTATGAAAGTATTTATTGAAAGAGACTTTGTATTTTTGAACAACTTCAAAAAAAAAGAAGTTCTTGAAAAAAGTGACTGGTTGACTTTTTTGTCGAATTATTCGAATATGCTCATGACTCAAACTTCAATATTTGTATTTAAGATGCTGTGTATATCAAATTTTCGTCTAGCAACAGTTAACATTCATTCTTTTTTTGATTCTAATTGACAGTTGAATGTTCATCGATTAGCTCAACTATTGCAATGTCTGAGGTGTGGGTGTGGATGTGAATGTAAAAGCAGAGTAGATCAACAACCACACCCACATCCACACTTCGCATACACGCAACACACTCACACCCAGCAATGTGGCACTGGGGAAGGTCTCTACGTGTCGTTGGTTCCTACCTGTTGATACGAAATACCTTCGGCCGTTGTCCTACCAGTCCGCCGTAGTCCGCTCTGTGGCACCTATGGCATGACAAGGGATCTATCTCTTATCACGCGCACGCGTAAGCCAAAATTAGCAGAGAAAAACGAAATAAATAGCACTGCGAATAAATTTATTGAGCAAGCAAAAACAATCGTTTACATTTTCTTTTTAACATGTTCAATGTTATCTTTCGTTACTTTAATTAGAGGATGTGTTGACGGAAGTGATTCTCGACAGATAGCAAGTGCCATTTCTAAGAATGAGAGTGCTTTTGTGTAGTCATTCATGTCACAATGCGTCATACCAATGTTGTTGTAAGAAGTAGCCAACGAGGGATGATTCCGAGGCAGAACTTTTTCTCTTATTTCAACTGATTTTTCGTAAAATTCAAGTGCTTTCAAGTAGTTACCCATGTCCTTATATACTGCACCGATGTTGTTGTAGGAACTAGCCAAATCGGTATGATTCGGAGGCAGACCTTTTTCTCTTATTTTAAGTGATTTTTCGTAAAATTCAAGTGCTTCCGAGTAGTTACCCATTTTCTTATATGCTGCACCGATGTTGTTGTAGGAAGTAGCTAAAGCGGGATGATTTGGAGGCAGAGTTTTCTTATCAATTTCTAATGTTCTTCCGTAAAATTCCAATGCTTTCGAGTAGTCACCCATGTTGTCATATGCGAGACCGATGTTGCTGTAGGAAGTAGCCAATAATGGATGATTAGGAGGCAGAGCTTTTTCGTAGATTTTATGCGCTTTTTCGTACAATTCAAGTGCTTTCGAGTAGTCGCCCATGTTGTTATATACTAGAGCGATGTTATTGTAGGAAATGGCCAAATGGGAATGATTCGGAGGGAGAGCTTTTTCGTAGATTTTATGTGCTTTGTCGTAAAATTCAAGTGCTTTCGAATAGTCACCCATGTTGTTATACACTTGACCGATGTTGTCGTAGGAAGTAGCCAAATTAGGATGATTTGGAGGTAGAGCTTTTTCGTAGATTTTATGTGCTTTGTCGTAAAATTCAAGTGCTTTCAAGTAGTCACCCATATTGTTATACACTTGAACGATGTTGTGGTAGGAACTAGCCAAATCGGGATGATTTGGAGGCAGAGATTTTTCATAGATTTGATGCGCTTTTTCGTAAAACTCAAGTGCTTTCGAGTAGTCACCCATGTTGGTATATGCGAAAGCGATGTTATTGTAGGAAATAGCCAAATTTGGATGATTTGGAAGCAGGGCTTTTTCGTAGATTTGATGTGCTTTTTCGTAAAATTCAAGTGCTTTTGAGTAGTCACCCATGTTGTTATATGCGAAAGCGATGTTGCTGTAGGAAACAGCCAAATCGGTATGATTCGGAAATACAGCTTTATCGCAGATTTTATGCGCTTTCTGATAAAATTCAAGTGCTTTCGAGTAGTTACCCATGTTGTTATATGCGAGACCAATGTTGTTATAGGTATTAGCCAATGAAGGATGATCTTCTGGTAGAGTTTTTCGTTTGATTTCGAGGGACTTTTCGTAAAACTTTATCTCTTTTTCGTATTGGCCTTGTTGCCATTTCACTCCACCTAACTCGTGATAGATATGTCCTTTATCATCGTCGTCAGAGGCCTGTTCTAGTAGTGCCATGTACAATTCTTCGGCTTTATCAAATTGACCTATTTTGAGCAGTAATTGAGCCAATCGATACCATCCAGTGCCACCCGATGTTTCTTGTCGTATACTATCGGTTAATTGACGAAGTTGTTGATCGTCATCGGCCGTAAGTATAAGGTCCACTTCATAAAGTGGACTTTGCTCGTCAATTTTTCGAATTTTACCAATTCGAAAAACTGTATGCATCGAGAAGAGAAGTTCCTCTTCGTCCTTGAAATAACTCACCTCCTGGATGGAGGCGAACGGAGTCGATGAGACAGTTGCATCTATTGTCATTTGAAAGAGGATACCAACCATATCGGGTGCTCCTAAGGTGCCTTCGGCAAAAATGAAGGAGACATCACGATCTGTACTGGTGGATAAAAAATTATTAAACGATATGAGACCACCTTTGTTCTTTGTGAGTTTCTCGAAGTTACCTGTCGATAATCCTTGGCCTCTATAAACTAGAAACGACTTCCCATGATACTGACTGGCCTGTTTGCTGTGTAAATCTTCAATTTGTCGATGAACATCACACAGGAAAAATCCCATTCGGATAATAATGTCACCATCAAGTGTTCGTAATGCTCTATTCAGCATTGTATATGTAAAACATTCACGGGTATACCACCATAACGCCAATGTTGGATGATAAGTACGTTGAAATTCATCAATAATTTTCAGTCCTCTACTATTGCCTTGATATTGTTCTTGGCAGAAGATTACCAAATCTTTGATAGCTTGTTGATCATGTTTCATATCAAGGAGTATTTCCTTGAATATTTGGGTATACATGAAAGAGGGTTCTAGCTGATTAAGATTTTGACTAGAACCATCTGCATCAGCACTAATTATACTGACCATTGTATTATTTTGATTATATTGCTTGATAGCTATTTGCAACATTTTGCATATAGACTCGATTGATTCGTTAATACCTTTAATTTTTCTCCAATGTTTAGCCCATTCTTCATGAAGTTCCTTGTTGTGAGAAAAAATATATATACTATCAAGATTTTGCATTCTATGAATAGTTGGTACAAGAACTTGTCCAAGTTTACCAGAGGAGATAACGAAAGATGTCTCCTCCTTGTTTTCATTGAGTAATCTGATGCATTCATCTACCGTGATGCAAATCTTGACTTCATTGATAACATCTCGTAATTGTGAGAGTATGTGTTGACAATCTTCATTTTCCATATTAATATTCGCATCAACCCATATGACTAAATAGTTTTCAGTCATACGTTGTCGTCGTTGTTGACTCATTTTCAATGTAATACTGAATGATGTGTATGAACAGAGTTTACCTTTTGTATTTATATATTCGACACATGGCGTTTTTTTTCTAGGTTTTTCTACGACGTCAAATATTAATATTTTCTTTTTTTGTCGATACTTAATAACAACCTATGCCTAATCTCAATCAAAGGTATGCTTGTCAAAAAACCCATCAACGTCGTTTATTGTATGATTATTTTTTACCATTTGCATTTATGTTTCATGTGAAGCATGACATAAGTTTTATTTCATTGATATCTTTTCTCATACGTTGTATATTTTTTTCGATTCTTTCAAAACGAAGCTTTTTTCTCTTGTTGAGAAGAACAAAAAAATCAAGGACATCGTCTGTATATTTTTTTTCCTCATTATGCATACGATTGGCATGCTGCTAATGTGAATCAAACAAGAATAAACATCATTTTAGTTTTTATATAGGCAAAAGAGTATCATCACTGATAATCTAATTAAAGTAACTTTTTTATTTATATTCATTCGAAAAAATATATATAATAAAACGATATTTCGTTTTCGTATTTTTCAATAACTGTCTCTTTTTCGTTAATTTTTAAGATTCATAAAGAAATAATATTCAACTTGTGTTTATTCATACAATTTTAACATATGTTACAATGATAACAGGAAAACTTCTCCTATCCAAACATGTATCACTAGAACTATATGTATCACAAATGTATATCAATTGAAAACTATTTCTGCTTGTATGATTGTAAAACAGATTCATACATGCTCGTATACAATCAATAAATGATGAAAAGAGTTGCTGGTATTTTACTGACTGAAATCGGTAGGAATATGGAAGACATGAAGACTGTTTTTCTTGATTTAAAAGCGAGAAAAAAACCATTGCTATTGTATTGTATTGTATTTCACTGGACATATGCATCTATTCAATAAAGTTGAGAAGTATTCAGAGATCAGTAAAACAATAAATGATGAGCTCGCAAGTGATAATAGGTATAGATATAAAGTATTACCGAATGAAATATTTATATTATTGCTCCTAAACCATTAATTTTGAATATTAGAAGATTTTAATGAGTTGCATTCGAGATATTAGTAAGACATTCTATACTTAAATATTATGAAAATGTCATAAAACATCGTTCGTGAATGAAGAATAATCTTTCTTCCAGCAAGCAGATCTTCATATAATGCACTTCATCAAGATTAATCGTAATTGTTTAGCTTCAATCTACAAATAGTTTATTTCAAAGACAATCGCATAAATTTTAATGAGATTCAACAGTGATAATAAGATTTTTAGGGTTCAAAGCCTCATACAAAATTTTATGTTTGGGTTTGTCAAACGACTTTATCTAAATAGTATATATACATCTGTCTATATCAAAAAATGATATGATTATGTGTACCAATTCATAACTTTAGTTTGAATATGTAAAGATCTGTGAAAACTACTGTCTTATATATTGAAAACTGTGAAAGTTTCCCATAGCTATTCCATACAGGTAATCTATCTACGTATAAAAATATATTTAATGTTTAAAAATATGCAATACTATTTTGATTATATAATGTCATCTGAGCGTTTTTTGCAACGTCGAACAACGTTAAAATATTAATAATCATTTTAGAATTTGTTATCTATAATCTTAAATTCTAATATTGATTCAATAAAAGATATTCAAATGAGGATTCTCATAAATTTTCTTATCATGTCACTTAAATACATTAATTGTAAAAAAAAAGTGATAAAACATCGTGAAATAAAATTTCAAAAAAATATTTATTTATCAATATCAGCTACAGCTTGTTATATTCGAAGATTTGTTTTGTTAAAAAAGTTCGTATCTTTAGATAGTCTTTCATAGGTTTTCATTAGACTCTTATCTATCGAAGAGCACTAAATATTATTGAATACGATATAGAAATTAATAAATTAGAAATAATCATCCTGAATGAATTTCTTAATCTGCTTCATTTTGCGATCATCAAGAAATTGATGTTCAACTAATACTTTTCTTTTTTCATTTCACTATTTTATTCAAAGTTTTTCTGTTTTTGTGTTTATTTTAATAATATTGATTTGCATTCTAATAGAGACAAACCTTCAGCAATTCATATCGATATTTTGAATAAAATTGATTATTTTTAATATCAACTATATTTTTCACTCATCTATGAAATTTTAAAAATTTTAAAACTAATTCTTATAGTTGAATTTTTCAATCGTTTACTGGTTATATTATTGGATATGTTTCCATGACAACCGTTACCCCATCCCTCATTACAGACCATTACGAATAAATTAACTAATTAGCTAATTAGGGAAATTATGAGTGAATCAATTAATAATTTTCTAAATATTTAATAATTAGAGTATTTGATATTTATTATTTAAAATATTAAATATTTAATCATGTTTAATATTTCATTATTAAGTCATTATTGAGCCATGATAAGCCGTCATAGGCACATTGAGATCCTGTTACAGATACCTTAGGACACCGTTACAAATCGCGACAGACGGTATCCGCAGACTATTATAGACACCATATCATTAAGGCTTACTATGAACGTATGAGCTATATGTTTATTGCAGTTCTAGAGAATTCTGTAAAGAATGATGAAGAAATCACTCCATAAATCAATCGAATGAGGTCATTTTTTATGTAGTCAGTGACAGTGATCAGATCGTGTTTCGCGTTTTAATCCCACAGGGATTGCATTAACAGCTTTGTGAAAAAGGGAAAAGATTTTATTTTAGGTGTTAATGAGTAAAGCATTGGTATTTTCCATCTAGAAGGCTAACAATAAGACGACACTAAAAAAATATGAAGTAATTGAATTCTAATTTTAGTTAAAACTCAACACTTTATATGAAAATTAGTTGAGAGAAAGAATAATATGCGTGATAGCTTAGTAAGCAATAAAATAAATATGCATAGCTGGCTAATATAGTAGTTGAACCGATAAAACAATCAATAAAAATTATATCTGCTGCTTTGTGTGACATGCATCGTGTAGATATTATCATTAAGAGAATAGAAGTTATGCACCAAAGATATATATGACAATATAAGTAATTTTTTTCAATATTACGATGTTAAATAAATCAAATAATCTTGATAATATATATTAAATTTATAACGCTCATAGTTTGTGATTTTCACATTTCGGCTCTTCTTGGAGGACGCATTGACAAGTTTTCCAATAATAATCAATACATCTTTATAACTCATTTAAATTATGGCTTTTTCATTATTCTATTGAGAGATATATGTCAATTAAGTTAAAATTATCCAATTGGATATTTTAATTATTAGATTTGTTGTTATCCAGAAAATAAAAGGAATGAATTTCTTAGTTGATTATTCTGCTTATTCCTTTGTTTAAAAACCCTCAGTAGTTGTTTCAATCTCAGCTATGATAATCACCTTACAATTATCTTAAAAGTATACAAGAGACAATAGTTTTAATAACATGAACATTTCAAGGCATTCAGCAAGGATAGGAACTAAAAAATTCCAACGATTTATCAATGGTAATTATTCGTACGACGAGACCATCCGAGATGTATCATTCCATTTCACCCATTTATATCTCACTTGATCGAGTATATTGAGTTAGTAAAAAGTCTAAAAGGATTACTGCCCATGACTCTTCCTTCGAAAGTTTTGACTATTTGACTAAATTTTCGACCCATCTACTCCTAGGTATTTATTGAAAAAAATCAAATTAAGAAATTTCGTCTTGAAAGCTTCAATCAAAATGAATATTCTTTTTCAAGAATATACCTTAGGATATTCAGCTTCTAATCTAGTTAATATATGAACATTTACATATCTTCTTCAAGATAATACTGGGTTTTCATGCCTGGTGAAATCGAGTATGTGTGCGCAAGATTTTTCATAGTCATGCGTGTTTGACTGAGGATAGCTTCATCTCTGCATCTACCCAATAGTATCAGCATTAGAGATTCCTAATTGTGTGAGTTTGTTCAGAGTTACTTTTCTTCAAAGTTCTTCATTGAATTTATCATTTGCTAGAAGATGAAAATATTGTGTGGAATTGAGAACAGCTTTCTCTTGGTTGAGTCGTTATATTACATCTTATTCGAAGTTTTGGACGCACAAAATAAAGCAAAATATTAATTGTACTCTATGTTGATGGTAGACAAGGAAGTTTTTCTCTGATATTTACTTCTTCTTCTGTTTTTTCTCTCGTAATCGTAGAATATCAACACAACTATAAGTCAATACAACTTATCAACATACCATCAATCAGTTCTTGTTTTCTTCTTTTAATATGTGCTATACAGATAATTCTTTCTGTATAATAACATGAAGGAAGAAAACATCTTCTCTACTTAGATTGGCCCTTCTTTCAAGTAGTTATATTACAAGAAAAAATATTTGTACACTCGGTTGGTGTAATCAAGATCGTTAAAAGATATGAAAACACTGATGATAATATTCACAGTTATTTCTTTCCTATTAATTCACATAGTAGATACAGGTAATATAAATTTCATAGATAAACCCATTCGACTAAAGTAGAATTTTCTTTCTTTTATTCTTCACAGATATTCCAAGAGATATCAATGAAAAATATATTCGGAGTTACAATCAATGGCAACATGTTAAAAAACTATGGAATAATTCATATCAATACACAAGCGGAAGAAGTTCATGGACTGGGTATAGGAGCAGTACAACAATATTCGTTCTAAATGGAAAGGTGCGTGGCAGAGAGAGGGTAGAAAGTCGAAATATTAAAATATAGTTTATAATGAGACATACTGCGTAGTTTTTCATTGACACGTCGATATTTAGTATTGAGTTGACTAGTTCGAAAGACAAAACATATTTTTATAGATTTTCCTATCTGTTCTGTCTTATGATGTCAAAAAGTACTAGCGACCAGTTTTTGAACGGTTTTCTATAAAGCCTTTAAAAATTCACTTTAAAAATTTTTGAAACACGTAGTATGTGAAAATATATGAAAAACTAGTTGTCATAGGTGTCGAACGCTTGAAATTGTTCTAGAAAAATATGAGCTCAATGTTTAATGTAGAATCCTGAAAAATCTCTGTTTTGTAAGAAACTGATCAAAATTTTGGTAAAAATGATCGAAAGATACTTCATTAGATGTAGGTTTTTTTTTGTGCTAATTCCGAATCTATTGTTACTTTTTGGTTAACATTTAGGAAGTAAAAATACTGTGAAAAACCTTAAACAATAGGATTCTTAGTAAAACTCATTAGTCTATGAGAAGAGATCGCGCTAACTATGACAATGTATCATAGAGAAAACAACATTTCTTGATAGTATCATTTAAAAAAAGCGGCGCTTGACATTAGATAGTGCACTCACTCTACTGAATATCTATCTTAGGAAAATGCCTGTTAAAAAAAGAATGGACATTCATTTCTCATAGGAAAACCTTGAAATTACTGTAGGTCTTTTTTTTTGTATAAATCGACAGTTTGGAAACTCTATTTTCAATTACCAGAAAAATCGATCCTTTTTCAAATGGTTTGTAAAATTGGTCAAAAATTGCGAGTTACTTTTCTCGATGACATTAAAGTATTTGTGTCAAAATGTCAACACAGTTTAATTGACTGCAAATTGAAAACTAAGCTGATCTCGATGATCAATACTATCGATAACCAATATGTCGATGTTTTTGCAAATCTTCAAAGTTCAGTTTCCAAAATTCAGAACAAAATCAATATCTCGAAAATGAACGTCGTTTAAAGCCAATCTCTTGGGATTCTTGCAGATGACGTCGCGAAGCACGACTGCAGAGAAAAAATGTACAAAAATTGACAACTAGCAAAAAATATTTTTAAGTTTTATCAACTTCGTTTAGCTAGGATTGGATTACAAAACCTTCATTCGAGATGGGCAAGATTCTCAATGATTTTTATGATGAATTAGAAATTTTTTTTTCTAATTTTTATTTTTATTTTCGAATTGATAATAGGTTGTCGGGCGTGAGTTCAGTGCGTTTGATCGTGGTCAACTACGTAAACATTGGTTTGAGAATAAGGATCAATTATATTCACATGGTCAAACTTCGGGTGAAATACAACTAGGAACACTGGATAATATCTATTCAGCATGTTTACAATCATTAAATGTATCTAATCCTAATAGCCGCCAAAAATATGATCTAACATTTGAAGTAGACACAGCAAATCATGGTTTGTTGAAATCTTGTGGACATTATCCAATTGGCTGTGCAGATGATTGTTTCTTTGGTGTATCAATTGATAATTTGAAGTCCTATCAACAACATCAACCGAGTAATAGTA